ACCAGCTTCACAAAGATGTAACTGTGCTTTGCTTCAGATGCACCACATGGCTCTTATTTTTACCCTGGGACTTCTCTACCACTGCTGTGTTAGACTTCTGATGGAACCCATCCAGTCATTCCAATGCAAGAACAAATCTGGAGAGTGAGGGAGCAACCTTTGACCAATCCAGGAGGGGGAGTCAGGGGATACACACTGCCCTCTTCCATCCCTTGGGCTGACAATTCTGAAGTGTATTCTATGGGATTCCTCAGAGTCCTTACAAAATGGATCTTAATGAAAGCTCAGCAGCACATCCTTGGATTGATGTTTCCTCCTTTTCTATTCACTTTTCCTGCCCCCCCACTTCTGTTCCTTAGAGTTATTTCCTATAATCTACCCTGATTTAAGCCCCCATTTCAGGCTCTAATTTGGGGGTAAGCTAGGCTAATACACATTGCCTTTGTACCTGGCCTCTGACCTGCTGTTTCCCTGATCATGAAGTATAAAAAGCCCCACAATCTAAGAGTCTGGGTTCCTTTCCCCAAGTCTGACACTTGGGCTGTGCAAGATTTCACAGCGATGTTCCAAATGTGGTGCATGATGGGGAGCCCGTACCTGTTCCTGTTCCCGTAAAGGTCTGGTGTGCATTCTGCTTGGTCATATGCCATTGTTTGCACTACACCATTGTTACACTGCCTGAAGCATGCTGATGCTGCTGGTGCTTCAGCAGACTCCCAAGCATAGTAAGGGAGAAAAAAATCTCCGTCTTGGTATGATGCTCACCTTTGATGGCCTGACAGCCAATATTACAAAGTGCTTTAATGTAACAGCACTTTCCCCAAGGGCACATGGTGGTGGAGTAACTGAATTTGGAAAGATTTCCAGCTTCACTCATATACAGTGAAAAAGGGATCAGAGTCACAACTAGTCTAGACATGGGTTCCCAGCCAGGAAAGGAGAATTAAGTAGAACTGTCTGGAGCTGATATTTAGCTGACATGTATCAATATGGGCACATCGGTTGTAAAAATATTGATCCCTTTCTTATTGTTTGGTAAACTGAATTGCTATAGCCCCAAGCTGTTTGAATACCTCCCTCCCCTGGGATCTCCTGGAAAGCTTCATGATCCAGCAAAGGCTACCTATGACAAACAAGAGGTCTCTGAGATCCTACTCCAACATTATGGCTGATGTCTGTTCTTATTGCTCAGTGATCATGCTGTACTGGTGGTTAAGTATTTTTAATATCATCCCTGAAAATGTAGGCAGTTAGTCTCTGGGTGCTCCCCCACTCCCCCTACAACTTGATTAGAACATCTCTACCTGTCTCTGATCCTGTTAACCAGGAGCATCACTCTGAGAGGATCCTTATTGGGGTAGCCTCAGATACAATAGTTGGGCTGAAGAGACCAGATGGTGGGCCATGAAGTCACATGATATATTCAATTTTGTCATCCACTAACCAGAAGCCCTCTGTTCTTACACAGTAGGACATATGCTCCCTCCTATCATGGCCTTGTCCCTTATTATTATTGATATTCTCACCAAATGATCCAAAGGCTTTTCAGACTTTCATATGTGAATGACTCCGTAGTATGTACCTCTAACCCAGATCACTCTCCAGAATTTGACTTCTATGATGAAAGTTTCCACCTAAATATGTGACTCTCAAAAGGGCTTGTTGTTTCTTTACCAGTCAAATCTCTCAGCTCTGACCCTTGCCTTGCTTGACAAATGCCAGGTGGGAATGATGATTCCAAGTAATCTTCGTAAAAAGGGAAGAAAAGCAAACCCAATTTTTGTCAGAATTGTCAAGTCTCAAACATCATTGGAAACCACTATCAATATCTGCTGATCCTTAACATCTGTAGAGCTCAAATTCTTCATAAAGCTCTTGCCATCATCTCGATCAGGAAAGGCAAACCATGCAACTTAGTTTCCCAGACACATCTTGGCCAATTCAATTACAGAGAAACATCATCTGGCTTGTGCAATGTTCCCTGCTGTCTTCCAGTGATTAGCAAATGGATTAGTGGACAACTTCCAGAATAGAAGTGTCATCAACTACCAAAATGACATCTTAATTTATTTACATTACCTGATCTAGCCTTGGAGATTGTAAACTACCAGCAATGATAGTACTTCTAGGAAAACACTGAAATGTGTTTTTAAGACTTTGACCATGTCATATTCTCTTCAACAATGCAGCTACGTCATGCCAAAGTGTCAGTGTCCTTTAAGAGGGAACTGTCAAGGGAATGCAGAAATGAATGGAATTCACTAGATATTACTGGCAATATTTTTCATTGCTTCAGCCTTCTCACTTCAAATACTTGAACAACAAGAAGGGATTTGTTAGTTCCAGTTATAGCTATAATCTTTCAGAAGCCAGTGACCCTCCAATCCTATGGTACTCTGCACCAAGCCAGGTGGCATTAGTCCTTACTCCACCAACGCCACAGATTGAATAATTCTCACCCACAAGAGGAGAATTTCTGCCTTATACTCACTACTCTTGGAGACTGCTCTCAACAAAAGTTGATTACCCTGCATGGAAATGAGAGCTCTTAGCTATCTAAACTACCTTTGAGACACAGAAATACCATCTTCAAGAGACTGTACTGCTTGCTAGTACAGTAAGGCTACAGAGCCTGAAACATCTCTGAAAACCCAACCCAGAGCAGGTGAGTCAGGCTGCCTCACTGCCATCAAGCAAACCTTATTCTCAGGCACTTGAACTTCACAGCAGTCCAGTGGTAGATACAGTAAATAGCATAAGTAGCAAACAAGCACTTCTGTGGTTTACGTCTTAGCCCAAATTCAGAAGTGTTCAGTGGTGTATAGTTCTGAATGTGGTGGTTGGGGAATGACCATCCAATTGTAGTCATTGTACATCATCCTGATTGGACACTTTAGTCAAAACTTTGAGCTGATCTATCTATCTGTGACATGCTTGCTGAGGACTTGCTCCCTCAGTTCAGTTATTAAATCCCTCTGGGACATCCATGCTAGACTTAATTTCCAATCTGATCAACTGGTAATGGTAGAAATCCCCTCAAGCTGTGTAACACCCCTGTTCCCATTTAATTCTTCATTGATTCAATTAAACTCAATTCAGTTAATTCAATTTAACAAATATCTGTTGATGCCTACTTTGTATCAGGGACTATCTTAGGCACAAAACATAGGGATAAACAGGGCAGGTAAGGGTCTTCTTTTTCATGGAGCTTATGTGTATGTAAGCTTCCTGTTTACTTGTTCTTGACATCAGACTTACTTTTGTGTCTAAGCTAGAAATAAAAACTCAGTGAATATTTGTGAAATGAATAAATCAAACTAGAGTCCTTTTTGAACATATATATGTATATTTTGTATGTGTATGTATAATTTTTTTATTTAGCTATCAATGACAGAAGGAAAAATAAGAAAACTCCATGAAACTACCTTACCATTAACTGTATTGAATATTCAAATGATCACAATTCTTCCACATTTTATTGAGACGCTAAGAAACAATAAATTTTGTTTTCAGGGCATTTGCTTTAGTAACCAGATTTATATTGACAAACTGAAGTCTTTTTCAGGTAATTTTCTCCTCAATTACATGTACAATTCAGATAAAAAGTGGTTCTTTTCCACCTAATTGATCATTAAAAGCTTCTGTTATTAGATCTATTTAGCCAAGGGAAATGTGGCTAATTAGGGGAGAATATTAATTCTTTTCTTCCTTAGTAAGGTTATGCAGAAACTTATTGCCATATTAAGATTATGTATAAAAACACACTGAATAAAGATTGAAAATCTTATATTTTGAATATCAACCCCATAAAGTGCAAACAATTACATGCAATACACAAATCAACAAATTTGTTCTCAGAATAGTCAAGAAAGGAAGCGTCTGAGTGACATTTTATTTCTGAAGACAAATTGTCATCCTTTTCCAGTTTCCAATGAGATTAAAATCTATATAAAATCTATTGCTGTGCTCTTTCCTCCAGTCAAGTGAAATTCTAGTACATTTTTAACTGAATTGAGACTTCTCTTTAAGCCTGTGCCCACAAACTGGAAATCTATTTAGAAAATGATTAGATATATTTAATCAGCGAAAGTAGTCGGGAATACTGTCTGGAGCACACATTTTCCATTTTACTCTCCATTCCATTTGGCCTGCTACCAAGGAACTTACAGGAATTTTTTTTTTTTTTAAGAATAAAAAATTTACATTTGCTGAGGAGATGCACAGGATTTAGTGGTACCTATTGTGAATATACAGGCTTTAGAGAAGTCAGGCCCTAAGAAGGAAGGAATTTAAGGGGTGCCTGGGTGGCTCAGTCCATTAAGCACCCTACCTCCGTTCAGCTCATGATCTCAAGGTTCATGAGCTAACAGCTCAGAACCTGGATCCCACTTCAGACTCTTGTCTCCCTCTTGCTCTGTCTCTCTCCCCCTCTCCCCGCCTCTCTCGGTCTCAAAAATAACTACACATTTAAAAAAATAAAAAAAAAAGAAGGAATTTAAAAATTAGGTGAACCAAAAATACTTATTAAACCAAATGCTACTAAAATACCAAAGCTTAGATCATTGATGCACATTGATCCTTAACTTCAACTTTCATATCATTCATTTTTGAGATTTACAAAAATGGCATTATAGATGACTAACCAAACTGGCAATCATTTTGTTTTCAAGTTCAGAGATTTTTCTCATTGCATTCCAATTCTACTCTTGACTCTATTACTGATTTTCCTACTTAGGCTGTGTAAGAAAAGGTATAAACTGAAAACTCTATCAAGTATTTGAAATCTGATCTGTTCTGCAGAAGTTGGAGGTTAAGATGAAAGACGCAAGACTTAAACATAATTTTGGTGCCATTGAAAAAAATGAAAGGTTTATTGAAAAGATTCTTTGGAGTTCAAAATATCTCTTTTAAGAAATGTGACTAAATACGTAAAACTGAGCCAAAGATAAATTACTAAATTAAAAAGACGGCTTCTAATAAAACATATTAAATTCTCTTACCTGCTGCACTAAACTCTGCAAAAATATCTTTATTTGTTTGAGGCTTCCCATCTGGATCAATGTCCATGATAGTACGCCATAATTCAGAGAATCTGGCTCGTTTTTCTTTGGGCATGTATATTCCATGCCACAGTGCTTTCAGCATGTAGTCAATATTGATCAGAATTTGCCCAATTCTGGTATCATAATAAGCTGGTGGTAATTGACAAGAAGAACTCTGATCATAATTAGCTTCTAAACTGACTGAGGGAATTTGATTAAAGCAATAAATTCCAACAGCCAACTCCCTTATAATTTGATGAACTTCTCTATAGTCTAAGAGGGCAACAGGGTCCACAGGAGTCAGAAGGATTGCAGTGGAGAAACTGACATTATTCATTTGACTCATAATTCCACATGGGATGTCCAACTGAGAGCGGACATCATCTTTGGCAGACAACCAGCTGACTAAGGCAGTAGTTAGCAACTCTTGTACTTCACTCCGATCATATTTTTCAAAAAAAACAGAAGCATTTCTCTGTACGGATAAGTTTTCCAGGTAGGTTTCTTCATCTTGAATTTGATCAAATCTAGGTAATCCTTTTTTGGGCAATCTTAACATTTCTAATTAATTGTAGGTGTCCTTTCTGAAGTTTCTGCAATGACTAAAAAGAAAAAGGCAATGAAATTTGTCATGGTAATGAAGCTAGATTTCTCAAGAAATAAATCTGCACCTTTATTAGGTTGTTTCATGATCAACCATTACATTTTCAGTCTTGTTTTAATAACATTTTTAACAATTGAGGTACAGTTGTCATACAATATTATAATAGTTTGAGGTCTACAACACAACGATTCAATATTTGTAGATATTTTGAAATGATCACAATAAGTCTAGCTAACATCAACACCATACATAGTAACAAAATTGTTTTTTGTGATACCTACTTTTAAGATTTGCTATCTCAACAACTTTTCAAATATGCAATGCAGTATTAACTGTAGTTGTCATGCTGTACATTACAACCCATGACTCATTTATTTTATAACTGGAGGTCTGTACTTTTGACTCCCTTCAAACTTCACCTACCCCCCAACCCTCTCCTCTGGCAACCACCAATCTGTTCCAATCTGTTCCCTGTATTTATGAACTTGTGTGTGTGTGTGTGTGTGTGTGTGTGTTTTAATTCTACATATAAGTGAGATCATACAGTATTTGTCTTTCTGTCTTATTTCATTTAGCATAATGCCCTAAAAGTCCACCCATGTTGTTGCAAATAGCAATATTTCATTCTTTTTTATGGCTGAATATTCTGTTGTACACATTACCCACATTTTCTTTATCCATTCATCTACTGATGGACACTTACGTTGTCTCCATATCTGGACTGTTGTAAATAATGCTACAGTGAAGATGGGGGTGCATATATCATTTTGAATTAGTGTTTTAATTTTCTGCAGTTAAATACCCAGAGGTGGAATTGCTGGGTCATATGGTAGTTCTATTACAATTTTCAATCTTAAGCTAATTGCACCATAAGAAAGTTGAAATTTGAGTTAAAATAAAATAATAAAACTTTTAACCTTGAGGCACCTGCGTGGCTCAGTTAAGCATCCTACTCTTGATTTCTGTTCAGGTTATGATCTCATGGTTTGGGAGATTCAGCCCCATGTAGGGCTCTGTGATATCAGAGCAGAGCCTGCTTGGGATTCTCTCTCCATTATCTCTCTGCCCCTTCTCACGCATTCTCTCTCTCTCTCTCAAAACAAATAAACATTAAAAGAAAATGCCTTTAACATTAATCATATTCTGCTTTTCAAAAGAAGTCAAAAGACACTAAGAAGTATGTCAAAAAGAAATGTTGATAGAGAAGCTACTGTTGCATATCTATTCCTTTTTTGTTGGAGAAGGCTTTTTGTAGATTTGTTTTGTTTTCAGTTTTTTTTTTTTAATTTTTTTTTCAACGTTTTTATTTATTTTTGGGACAGAGAGAGACAGAGCATGAACGGGGGAGGGGCAGAGAGAGAGGGAGACACAGAATCGGAAACAGGCTCCAGGCTCCCAGCCATCAGCCCAGAGCCCGACGCGGGGCTCAAACTCACGGAGCGCGAGATCGTGACCTGGCTGAAGTCGGACGCTTAACCGACTGCGCCACCCAGGCGCCCCTGTTTTCAGTTTTTTTAAAAGCAAGAAAATAAAGACCTGCTTAAAGGAAAAGGAAAGACAAGAAGAGCCTGCTTAACTTTCTGCTTCTATGTAACTAAATGCCTTTCTGTTCCTGGAAAAATAATGATCATAAGCACTGTTTTTTGAGCATCTACTATTTGTCCAGTTCTTTCTACATAGTATTTTATTTATTTCATTTAATTGGCCCTTCTTATATAGTGATTCTCAACATTTAGCCTGTATTGAAACCTCTAGGGCTTGTTAAAACAGGTTGTTGGAACTTGCTGTAGAATTTCTGATTCAGTCGGTTGGAGTGAGCCAGGGAATCTGCATTTCTGAAAGATTAGAGATGATGTCCATACTGCTAATTCGGGCAGGACACTTGGAGAACCCAGCTCTTTGAGATAGGCGTTGGTATCCCCACTAGGTAGACGCAGAAATGGAGACTAGGAAGTTTACAGACTGTGCCTATGGTTTCATACCTTCGGAATTAGAGCCAAGCCAGGTTTGTCCAAGACCTATGCCCACATGGACGCGAGAAAAAGGCAAGGACAAGGGAAGGGAAGAAACCTACTTTGAAATGATTGTTTCCTTGTCCAGGAGAGGGAGACTGCGTCCACACTGGTCCTTAGAATATTCCTGGAGGCCAGGGACGGTGGCCGTCTCGAATGGCTTCTCCCTGGGCCAGAATCCACCGTCCGGAGCCCCGCGTGGGCGAGAGCAGGGGGGAACCGCTGCGGATGGGATCTGAAGGCAGTCCCCCTGAGGAGACTCCCTGCGGAGGGCTGCTTGCCCAGCGCACTCCGTCGACCCTCCCGGGCGTCCTCTGCTTCTAGCGGGAGATCTGCGTGTGGAAGCCGGTAGTTCTGGCGCGAGGATAGCCCGGCTGCGCCGCAAGGGGGCGCCCGTGTCCGCCGGCACGTAGGGCCTTCCCCCGCTCCGCGGTCACACGGCACTGCTGAAATTTCCCGTACAGGTGTCCCAGCCCCTCCGTTCTTTAAAACTCAGTCCCGCTGCGTGTTCTGGGCACCGTGCTTCCCCATTACTTTTCCCTTTCACGATTTGTCTCTATGAAAACAAAACCAGAGTGGCAGAGATGAAGGCTCCAGGCCCCGAAGGAGTCCTGAGTTGGAATCCTACCTCCATCATCATTCTTTCAGTCAGCAAATATTTATGGAACGTTTATTATGAGCCAGGCACTGTGCCAGGAGTTGGAGACCGCTGGAGGGCAGGACAGACACAAAACCTCAAGGTGCTTCCAGTTACACAGATGATCATACAAGTATTTTGAAACAGGGTGATAATGTGAGATGTAATGATAGCATATGAAGGAAGGCTAACCAAAACCAGGGGCTCGGAAGGGGTGCCCAGAGGAAGTGATATTTTAAGCTGAGCCTGGAAGATGAAAAAGAGCTATCCAAGTGGAGTTGGAGAAATAGCTTTCCAGATACGGGGCACAACAGGTGATGAAGAATCCAGTTGAGAAGAAAGTTGAACTTTTTGAGAAACCAAACAAAACCTTGGTTAAAGAACTAGAGAGACGTGGGCACAAAACTGGCCATAGAGGCAGATGAGGGCCAGATCACCCGGGTCGCTGAGTTGATGATTCTGAGCTTCATTGTAAAAGTTTAGGCTGGGTTGGTGGCAGTAGATGCTAGGTACAGACTAGTGCGGTGGCAGCGGAGATGCAGCGCTGTGGATGGATTCGAGAAATAATGAAGTGGCAACAGACTGAATGGGGGTTGAGTGTTCAAAAAGAGAGTGGTTGTCCAGGTGGCACCCAAATTTGTCAGGAGAAATGGGAGATCAAGGCAAGATTAAGAGTTCAGCTGTGGACATACTGACCTTGATATATTTGTAAGAGAACCCAAGTAGAGATGCCATATATGCTGTAGATATACAACTCTGGTTAGAATGGCAGCCTGCAGTAGATGCATACATTTGGGCAGTCTTACCGTGACAAAAGCCAAGGGGGTGGCTGAAATCATTGAGGGAAAGAACTGAGAAAAAAAGCTCAGAACCTAGGATGGGAGACCTGAGAAATTTAATATTTAAAGGTTAGGTGGAGAGGATGGAGTTACCAAAGAACACAGAGACAGCTGTCATGAAGACCAAGATTAGTCACAGAAGCCAAGAGAAGTGTTTTGTGAATAGGGGAGTGCCCAACTTCATTGGCTGTTGCTGCTACCTCAAGGGGGATAACTTCAACTTTTCCACAGAGTTTGCCAACAAGGTGGTTTTATAACATTTGGGGGCAGAATTTCTTAGTCCAACCATGTCATTATTTCAGCTGCTACGGAGGTAGTATTAAAAATTTATGATTGCTGTTCAGGGCAGGGGATGTGAAAAAATCCCTGCTTCTTTAAGAGATTTGCATGTTTGCACTTATGAACAATGTATGTAAATTCTTCTACTTAAAAGTTTTTTGCTCAGGTACCTAGATGGTTTGTTCCAACTGTTTCAAATCTTGGGAAAAATTGTTTAAGGACTAACACAGATCCTCATCCCAGGCTTATGGAATTTAGTAGTAAGAAGGTTCTAAAAAGAAACCAGGCCCTCTGAGGAATAAACAAAACAAAACACCTACACACAAGTATTCTGCTGGAGATGACCTGGAAATTCCCTACAGATTCAACTGGATCAATACATGTAAAGCTCATAAAGTAGTGCCTGCTTACATAGTCACCACAATATAGATGATAGATCTTTTTAGTGTTGAACTATATTGTTATTATTAAAAATTGTTACTATATTCAAATCTAGGCCGCTAGGCAAACCTCTTAGTTTATCTACTTCTAATAAAGAGCAATGTCAGTTTGGTGCTCAGGACCACATAGATACTGGAAGTTGTCTGCCTTCAGGTAAAGGGATGAAAGCCATTAAAGTAGTATTTAAATATGGTTTAGACATTGCATTTACCAGGGGATAAATTCAGGGCATGTGAAAGTGTCCAACAGACTTCTGTTTGTCAGTATCCTGAAACTGCTTTCCCACTAAGATTAAAAGAATCGAAGTACTCTGAACAGATCCAGAAAGGGTGTCAGCACTGATTGGGGATAGACGCCAGTGACCTTGGTATGGTGGTCACAACTAATGTGGGCGGATGTAAGGCTGGAGTGGAGCTGAAAAGGTGGAGAGGATGGAGTATGGATAGGAGGCAAGAGATGGTAAGCAGAGGAAAATATAGAACTAGGTATGTGCATTTTACATTGGTTAGACCAGACTCCTTTAAACGTTGATAGGAAGGATCCTATAAAAGAGGGGCTGACGAGACAGGCAAGGGTTGGGATACAGAAAGCAGGTGGAGGCACAGCTTTTTGATGGGTGGATGGACACATTTCCTGTCCTGATGACTTTGATCTGTGAAAAGCTCAGGTCATGAGCTGAGAATGGGGCAAAGAGAGGAAGGCACAGATGTGTGGGACAGAATGCTTAAAACAGTCACAAGTTCTGAC